TGCTGGTGAGAGATTGTGTGTTTTTGTTGGTTTTAGATATGGCACACACAACATGTTCATATTGCAGACTTATTTCCTGTTCCATGTTAAAATAACAATGTTCATGGTACCGCTGAGAAAGAGTCATTTGTTTGGTATTGGAAAACTAGGTAAAGGTCATGGAGAAGTCATTGGTGAAAAAGTGTATGAACCCTGAAGTAGGTTCCACATGAATACAGAAAACAACAGAAAACAAAAAGGACATCATACATCATATTTACAGGTTACATTTACATACCTAAAGACATTGACATTCAGGTACCAACAGTCTCAGATTGCATGGCACCTATCCGAGCTTTAAAAACAGGCAGTGGAACCAAATTGCTCAGTTTCAATTTCTTTTTGCTGACTGTTCCAAGCAAGAGGAGCTGCACACATAAAAGTTTTTGTACCTACGCCATTCCTTGTACTTAGCACATGTAACAAAACCACATCATGTGATCTCAGGCAATAGCTACCGGCAACTCTCTGTGTGATCAGAGAGCAGATGTAAGGTGGTAGTTTACCCAACATGGCTTTGTAGATGAACATGTACCAGTGACTGAGCCTCCGTACAGTTAGTGAAGGCANTGGAGCTGCACAACTAAAAGCTTTTTTCCCTAAGACAGTCCTAGCACTTGGCACATTTTAATAAAACAACATTATGAGATCTCAGGCAATAAGTACTTTTCAATTCGTCGAGAGATCAGAGAGCAGATGTAAGGTGGTAGTTTACCCAACATGGCTTTGTAGATGAACATGTACCAGTGACTGAGCCTCCGTACAGTTAGTGAAGGCAGACCTGCCCGGCATACAGGGTACAGTGATGAGTCAGTGCTTTACAGTTAGCAACACATCTCAGTGTCTCTTTGTCCCTCAACACAATACAAATATATATATATATATAACAATATGTATAAATAACAGTCTATGTGTGGTGGTCTATCATGGCCGTTTGTTTGTTTGTTTGTTTGTACTCTTAAATAATCCCCCCTCTCGCCCTCTAGAGAAATGACCCAGATGCAACAATGACATCCAGATTCGGTAAAACCTACAGCCGTAAGGGGGGGGAGGGCACGTCCAAGTTCGACGAGGTTCTGTCCACCAAGAGAGGCACCCTCAGCACCAAATGGGGCGACACCACCTACAAAGCCAAGGTGGGCTCAAAGCGTGCCGGAGCACCCAAAAATGACTCGGTTCTGGAGGTCTACAAGAGACCCCGTCCGAGCGGAGACGGCATGGAGGATCCGTTCGGCTTCGACAGCGACGAGGAGTCCAAGCCGGTGTCGTCTCGCAGCAAGTCGTCCCCTGCTAAATCCGGTGCTGCCGAGCCCCCCCAGGCAGAGAGACCGGGGGCGGGGCTATCTCTGAACATGGGGAGCATGTCCAGCCTTCAGGGGGGGGGAACCCACAGTCTGACGGCCTCCAGAGGGGCCTCCTCGTGGATGAACAACGACCGGAGCCAGCCCCCCCGGATTGTGGAGGACACGGCGCGCTTCTTCAACAGCAGCACTGCTACTACAGGTAACACACAGACAGACCTCTGAACCTGGGAAGACCTTGAGTGTTCTCGTGTTAAGGCCAACATATGACATTCAAGACTCAAGGCTTTGAGTACGTAGCTACAGTGCAGATATGTCAATGACAATCTGAGGTCACAGGCTCCTCCAACGGTACAACACAATATAACAGAGTGTAAATAGTTAAAATAGTGCAAGGAGAGTCTATATACAAGTGATTGGAATATGATATATTAGATAAATCATTTTTAAGTTGCAGCCAGATGAATGTTATGGATGTTCTTTCAAAAGTCTTGTGGCCTGTGGGATGAAAGTGTCTCTGAGTCTGGTGGTTTTAGTCCTGATGCTGTTGTACCGCCTGCCAGACGACAGAAACCTATACACCTGGGAAGCGCTGCTTATTGTTTATTTGCTATTTAGCTATGGAGTCATCTAAACAATTGCCCAAATAATGATGGAGCCCCATGGGAATCGACATATCTTCCCATGGTGGGGGGGGGGTAGTAATCAGCAGCGAACCGCTTCAATACGTGTAATTTCGGTGTATTCACGGCATTCATTCAGTTATTCTACAGTATTGTTGTTTGATAGTTATTTGTTAATGTAACCCAATTTGTGTTCTTTGAAATTGAAAAGGATATCACATTGTGTTTGTTACCTTCGTTGCAGTTGTATATGTCTCCTATTTATGGACATGCTTTTATTTTGAAGGAGAGGTAGCGCTGTTGACAGGAAGTTGTTGTTGCTATGGAAACAACGTGACGGAGATTAACGGAGAAAAGTAATATCTACATATAAAGACGGAGAAAGTAAACGATAACGTTTATAGTTAAGTGTTAGCACCCCCCGAAGAGGCACAAGCTCTTACGTTGATATTGGAGATTTCAATAAATTCAATATGA